TCCCGTGGCCCGCGCGCCCGCAGCTCCCGCTCCTGGCTCCCCGCACGCACGCTGCTCTCTTCTCCCTGCTTGGTGTCCCTGCGCCACCGCCCCGGGCCCCGCGCGCCCGCTGTTCCCGGGAGCCCCCGTGTCCCACAGGCCAAGTGCTCTCAACCTTGTTCCGCCCTTTCCGGTAGCCCCGTCGCCTCCAGGCCCGGAAGGGTCACCTATCAGAAGCCCCAGATCATGGTACTTACCGCGAGAACTCGCTCAGGTGGCGCGTGTTGCCTTCACAGCCCTGCTCTCCTGCGGCGTCTAACTCCGGCCCAGGAGCACCCAGGCTTTTGGACATACCCTAGAAAATCCCTTCAGTTGCACCCAAAGTCCAACGTACACAGGATCCCGGACAGTCAGGACCCACTACATAATTTGTGTGGCCCAGTGAAAAATGAAAATGTGGCGAATTTTACTTTAAAGATTGAAAGTTTTCAAAAGTCGACATCAGCGCATTAAACCAAGCCTGGGGCACTTTTAAGTGAGGAGCCCCGCCGTCAGCCCGTCAGCCCGGGAAGCGCAATGTCTCAACGCAAGAATTTTTCCCCAGCTCTGGGGCAAATATACGGTTCCTTCTTCTGGATACCGGATCAAGTAAGGACCATTTGTACAGGAAAAAAGTACCTGCCTTCCTTCTCTAGCTCCCTTCCCCGGCACTGGGGTGGGAGGGGGTTCTGTGTTTGTGGAAGCCAGTGTGGATGTTTAGGGTGTTCAGGGGGGTCCTCAGGGGTCCTGGGTTGGGGCCCCAGCAACATCCATTACTTTGTGTGACCCTGGTCAAATCTAAGTCTACTTTCTCATCTGTAAAATGAGGCCAATAATTGTACACATTTTGCATTTGTTGTGTATCAAGTGAGATAAAACATATAAAAGCCCTAACAGTGCTGGGTCCATAGTTAGTGCTCTGCCTGGGCCACTAACACCAGCCAGCCTATTCCCTCCCTTGCCTGGCCTTCCCTCCAGGAACAGGAAACCAGCTCATGGTTTTCTTGAGGCCCATGTGGCTTCTTGGCTCCCACTTTTGCTCACCTCACTTAGCTCACTTTTCCACAGCCTTCAAGACTCCATCTCCTCTTCCAGGACTTCCTTGATGCCCACAGCTGGGTAAGGCGCCCCCTCCTCACTCTGGCCCAATGTTCTCACTGCCCCAGGCAGGAATGCATCTACTGTACTACAGTATTTAGCACACCTATATTATCCTGTTGGCTCTACCCACAAGTATGTCACAAATCCAGCACAGCTGACCTCTCTGCTTCCCTCTCCGGACTCTTACAGTCTAAACAAAGGAGCCAGCATGATCCTCTTAGAACAAATTGATGTAACTCTTCTCAAAACCTTGCTGTTTCCCATCACAGAATAGAATACAAAATCCTTACCTTGCCCATAAAGCACTCTGGGCTCCCCAGTACCATTCTCCTCCTTCATGGCTCCCATCTCATGGCTCTTCTTCACTCACCCCAAGTCTGGTCTTGCCTCAGGGTCTTTGCACCTGCCATGACCTTTGCCTAGAACCTTATCCCCCTAACTCCCTTTCTACATATTTTATCTCTTTTAAGCCTGTCAAGACCTGAGATAGGTAAAATAGTCCTCATTTTACAGATGAGAAAATAGACCTGGAGAGGTTGACTCCCTGACAATACTGTAAGTTAGAACCTGCAATTCTCTGCCCTAGCCCTTTGCTCCACTTTACTGTCCTTCCAAACATTCTATGAATTTTTATTGTTTACTCCCTCTAGAACATAAGTGCATGAAAGAAAGGATGTTCTCGTTTTTGTTCACTCTTGTGCCTCCAAAACAGCACCTAGCATATGGTAGGCACACCAGGATTTATTAAAATAATGAATAAATGCTCCTGTATTTCTCTTGTCCCCTAAACTGAGTTCCTTGTATGTGGAGCCAGCATCTCATTCATGTTTGTAGTCACTGAGTTAAATGCTTAGTAAGTTTGTTGATATAATCAGACAAGGAAAACTAGAGCCCCACAACATAAACTGAGCCAAGAATTAATGGTGTTCAAAATGCAATCTGCAATGCATATTTTAAAATCTGTTCTTTATTATATTTTTTTACATTGGGCACTTCAGGAAAGAAAATAATTACAATGATTCAAATGCATGAAGGATTCAAATTCAAAATGCAATTCCTAGATTCAATAAATAGCCTTTATAATTACACCCAAATCAATATTAGAAATGCAGGTAGACAGTAGGTCAGCTAACAAAATAGGTAAAGTAACTATATAAACGATAAATGTCTAGGATGGGGAACATGCATGATCAGTTAAGTCACTTTGCCACCGTAAGTTTTTTTTAAAAAACATGATTCACAGTTGCTTCCATCAAATAAACTCTAAGAGTTAAATTAGACCACTGATGCTAATAACTCAAAACTATGATCTCTGTTACCTTAAAAGAAAATTCGATTTAATACAGAGATTCAAGAAGAAAATTTCAGGACCCTTGATCAGAAGCTTTCAGTGCTCGTTGTACTACTCTGGTGTACACCAAGGTTCAAGTAAGGCTAAGCAAGAAGAGTTGTTTCCTTTTCCCACTGAAGACATGATCCAAGAAACAGGTGAACCACACATCCTATAGAAACTAGCCAGCCATCCATACACTGGCAATGAAGGACTCTGTGTTAGCAGCAAACCACATTTTAAAAGCCTTGGCCAATGTTACAAAAACAAAACGTTTAGAGTAATATTTACGAATATAAGCATGATTTTTTTTTTTTGCCTTCTAGAAATAATCATCTTTGAAATGCTAAAAGTGAGTTCCAACTGTGGTTCTTTTCTGGCATGGGAAGCCACAGGTGCACATGGGACGATCTACTGATTTACTTTCTCAAAGTATTCTTTGGAAGCAGTCGGATGTGGCTTGATCTGAAAATACAAAAAGATTTCACTGGGTAAGTGACTTTATGATAACAGTCTCAAAAATGAGTTGAAAGCCGTCAATTTTTAACCTAAAGATCTTTAACTTTTCTTTTCTTTTTTGGGGGGGTAATTAGGTTTACTTATTTTTCTTTTAGTGGAAGTACTGGGGATTGAACCCAGGACCTCATGCATGCTAGGCATGCACTCTACCACTGAGCTATACCCTCCCCCTAAAGTTCTTCAACTTTTTAAAGATTGGTCTCTTTTAAAATACACAGATGAAAGTTACATCAAATGCCAGCTTGGTGTCTGGTACCTGGTCCCACAACACCCCCACCCTCAGCAGCTTCACCCATCTGCACACCATCTGTACCCTTGGTCCAAGAGAGGGCTTCTTCTGTGGATATTCTAGGCCAGCAGCCCGTGAGGCAACGAGGACCTGGGACCCTCCGCTGAGGCCCTGATGCTTTTGGAAAAGAAACCTACTGTAGGAGAATCCGGTGTCCAGTTGGCTGGGCAGACTTCTCCATGGGTTTCCACAAACTGGAATGCCTTCACCAAGCGGAGGGTCTCTTCCACGCTTCGGCCCACTGGGAGATCATTGACACTCAAATGCTTGATGACTCCATTGGGGTCAATTATGAAGAGACCTCTGCATCAAATTTATCCTCATTAGTATCTCAACATTACCAGAGCTAGAAAGACTCTAACTTCTACCCCTTTCTGTCTTTAATTCTCCCTGATAGAGCATTAAACTCTATCATATGCTTAAAAATGGGGCTTTCCTTGTACAAAAAGATGGACCTGCACTAGGAAAACAGGCAGTATGGTCACATTTACAAATGTGACCTGAATGTCACACAGTATCTGTAAGTCACTGAACTACAGAGAGCAAGGACTCCTTCTTAGTGATTTAGCAAGCATTCTTTGGGCTGTTGTATCAAATCTTGGCAAGAAACCATAGGCAAATGGGAAGGGACAGAGATGTATTCTATCTATATTCAGTAAATATTTACAAAATTAGCAAATTCTTAGGTAGGGAGGGGAAACCCCCATGGTAAAAATCTTTGCAGAAGGAACATACTGGCCTTAAGTCTACACAAAGGAGAAACCCAAAGGAAAAACCGAGCCCACCATTCTTTTTGTTACCCCGAGGTACAGTTTATACAGGAAAGACAGTACTATTTCATTATTTAAAGTTTTCCAAATAACTGGTTCCCTGGAATTCTTCAAATCATTGATTTAAATATATCTGATGTGTTTCAGTCACTTATAGTTATTATTCTGATGCTCAGATTGTCCAAGGCCAACACCCTTTATCACTTGGCAGCAGTGCAATGAGGTGACCCATCCAGGGATCTGTGTTCATCTTCTATACGAGTGTTGGTGTGACTATGACATATGCAGATATGCCATAAAACCTCAGTTGTAACAGTCCATCTTACAAAGGTGTGGCATTCCAAGCGTTAATCACTCAGAGGAAAAGGCAACTTAGAGAAAACTCACTATATAAAATGGTAGCGCCCTCTCCCTGGGCCTGGCCCTTGGGAGTCTAGGTTCTGGGGCTAAGGGGTCCTGGTGCATGCTCCTGCCGGATGGAGATACAGACACAGAGCTGGGATGGAGCAGGGCCCACACACTCCAGAAAGCAAGCCTCATCTTACAAGCCAGACTTGGCTCCTATCCCTTTGTCAGTCCTAATAGTGAAACTAGGATGGAGGTTAACTGCAAAATTCGCAAGACTCTACAGGGAAGGGGATCCTGGGAGGAAAATGCCACACACTTTTTCTCCTTCCCTTACCAACTCTCTCAAAGCGAAGCTTAATTTATTAAAGGAAGACAGTAATCTCCTTGGAGTCAAAAGGACCCAAGCTCCAGGGTGGCCCCCAGAGTAAATTCCAGGGATAATCCAAGCAGGCCAGAGGTCAGCTACAGCAGAGGGCAGGTGAGCAGGTTCAAGCCAGCTTCCAGAAGGCCTGTGAGGCCCATCAAAGTGGGGCCCCTGCCTGCTTCTTGGAGGGAAAGTTCCATCCAATCCTTCCTTCACTCAGCAGCCATCAAGATGCCAGTTCAAAGGCCAAGTTCCATCCCTCCCAGGAAGGCAGCAGTCTGGGAAAGAGGTCACAATAGCTACTAGGACCTGTGCTGAAAACCTTGGCTGCCTCACCTTATTTAATCCTCAAAACCAACCTGGGAGGTACATTTTCATTTTAGCTACGGGAAGAATGGGACTCAAAGAGGTTAAGTATCCTGCCCAAAATCATACAGTTAAGTAGCTGAGTTTAAAGGGGGGGGGGCGTGGAATCAAACTCCAGTCTGATTCCAATGCTTGGACAAGATTCCAGGAAATTGATTCCTACCCCTCTTGGTTACCCCTGTCTCCAAACAGTCTGATGGCTTCACTGCCAGGAATGTGCCCACAG